CGCCTACACTGTGCAAGGAGTAGCGAAGTAGGAGGTTACCAATGATCTAAAAAGAGAAAGCCGTTTCAAAAAGTCTGTTCATAGAAAATTTATATGTCATCATAGATGAATAAAAATACCAAATACAGCTCAGCCCTAGCCAGTGACTCTCCGAGGCATGCTCTTCTGCCAAGCCCAAATGGAATTACCATTGATGCTAATGATGGGTCAGAGATGTATCGGGAGGGATCGAACTAGAATTACAATCGTATAAGAAGCTTAAACTTTGTATGCTAGGGTTAGTTTACCTTACTGGGATTGGGGAACTTGCTTTCATCACTGAGAATGAGAGACAACCCTGCTGACACAACTGTGTTTCTTGGCACAGGATAACCACCAATTTCCGTGTCTGAATCCGCTTGTCGAAAAATATTTACGTTCAATATAGAAGCCAGTCGTTGAATCTCCTTCAAAAAGAAACGAGCACAAGGGTAGCATATGTAGGTCTATATTGGGTAAACGGATCTCTGACCGTGAGTGTAGCGACGAAGTATGGAGTTTTGAGTTTGTCACCAAGTGAGAGTGGTCTTGAACCTCCCGTGACTTTCACAAGCTCCTCCCTCACATTGACGGCGACCTGTAACTCGTAGCTGATTTATATTAATATGGAATAAAGAGCGGGTCTGATTCTATGTAAAAGTTTCAAATTAAAATTTGGACAGCTTTGACGAAGCATCGATGGTCTCTCGTAAGCATTAGATTATCAAAAAAAAAACGTTTTGAAAAGGCCTAATTGTTTAGGAATGCATTATTAAAGCCAGGCGTCCTGGAGAATCCTTATCTTGTCTTTTCCCGCCTCCTTCTCATAGGTTAAGGTAATACCATAGCTGGAAGTGGACACAAAGGAATGCTCTCACAACTCACTTGTGGATTCCTTATTAGAAAGATCATAGCCCAGCATAAAGTCGTTGACGTTGTTTCCTGCCCTGCTATCCAAAGATCCAAGATGTTGACAGTGAGCGATTCATCACTGCAACACGGATATTCTTGAAGCAAAGTGGATGTACCGGGCTTAGGACAGACGATTTAAGGCTTGAATGAAATGAAAGAGGGATAAAATCCGTTCGATGAAATAATAGTTCAAACATTGAGCGCATTAAAAAAATATTAATTTTCAGTATTACAGGCGCAGCGAGTATTCTCTTTCTTTAAAGCACTGAAGACTACT